ATTTTGACGCTAACCGAGTTCCTACCTTGGTTTTGTCCAGGGTCTTTTTATTCTGTTCGACTAATGCTTTCCATTTGCCATAATACATTCGCGCCAAGAATATGCATCTCTTTCCTTTTGTGTTCTCATTTCTCTGTTCTCCCTTTCCCTAGCTGTCCTTGACAATCGTTTACGTTTCCTCCTTTGATTTCGCATGCTGCGTTTTTCTTCGATTGTACTTTCCCGAGATCGACGTGGAATGATTACTTTGCCAAGCACGCGCCAAGCGCGCGCTTTTTGTTGGCGATCGTCTTCGGTACTCGATTCCCTGTGGCTGAGTTTGTGCCCGCGTTTCCATACTGATATAATGTTGTAGAAAATTCTAGTGGACAGCGGCCTATCTCAACGCGATAAAACGATAAAAATTAACCGGAAAGCTTTGTTCGCAGTGAATGTACAACTACGAAGAATTAATGTGGATGAAACAGGGTACAAGGTTTATGCAAGGACTACCAGAAAAAAAAAGCAGTTGAAATCCTCCAAGTATAAAATTTTTTAAATGTAAAATGCATTTTCCACGCGTTTCAATATCACCCGACCTGCCACAGACTTCTGATCAGATTTATTAATTATCCCTCATCGGTAGTAGTATATCCCGTGCCAATTACGTAAGTGGAAGTCATGTTTACTGACAAAGTTTGACAAGCGATGACGTGTCATTGATGCCTAACATTCCCTCAGGGAAAAAAGAGGAAAAACTTACCGAAAAGTTACGTATTGGCTCTGCTTTACGGCAAGGCGAAGTGAAGCCTGTTAAGCGCAGCGACCACACCATGTTGCTGACGTCATGCCTCCAGTAGATCGCTGTTTCATTTGCGGTTGGTACTTTTGGTGGTTTCGGCGAGATAGCCTTTACGTCATGCCACGAGCAAGCTCGACGATTTGCCACAACATCGAAATATTTCATGTACTGCTAAGCAATTTGACGTTGAGCTAGAGCGTGTGATGCTCTGCAAAGCTATTCGACATAACACTACACCGTTTGTGTGTACGCTGTACCATTCGACATTACGCTGAGCCATTTTACGCAACGCTACACCATAAATGCAAATTAGTGCTAAGCTATTTGCAGTTGAGCTAGTCCATTTCACAATTTCATGTTCCAACTCGATATAGGCAACAAGACCGTTTATCATTTGGCGAAAGTATTCATGTTTAGGGTGTTTCATGAAGGAAAACTAAACCGTCTATGATTTGGCCATCCGCCAAAATCTGACCATAACCAGAGTACCTGCCATTCCTTTATTAGCTATGCTTTTGCAGCCGATCCTTAGACCAGCTTTGTATTTGCTGATGTATTTGACATCCTTGTATTTTTAGTGATGACGGCCTCCCATAGTCTTGTACGCTTTCGCAGTGTATCGCAGTGAATTGACGCGGTGGTGAACACCACAACAAATCTAGTCCCAAAACGTTATTTTGACCTACTTTATAAATCTGATAAGGTATCACAGAGGGAAATCTTTTTGTTTTCAATCTCTCGCAAATTTCATGTTTGGTTACTGAAAAAAAAAACAACAACAACAAACAAACAAAACTAAAAATCTGTTAACCTCTGAAAGTTATATTTTGGTGCCTCATTTACTTCGGTTGACACAGCAGTAAACAATTTGACAGTAGAAGGCACGTGCGGGATTGATGACACTTCAAGTCGCTTTTTCTCGCATAATCACTTTTGGCTTGAGTTTTAAACTTTAAAGACTTCATTTTTGGCTGACTTCCGGTCTAATTTCGCGAAATTTGGAGATAAGGTCCAAAAAGAAAAGGTTCCCTAACACTTTGCTCAAAAGCTCTAGTTCAGAGCGTTAACGCACAAATGGCTGAAACCATTTTTGAGGTCACTATGTGTAGACCACGTTCCTAATAAAAAACGAACGTCAAAGAAACTTATCTTGTCAACCCTTCAGGCGTTTAAAAGGAAAGCTCCCTTTCCGCTTAATGATCAAAAGTTTAGAAGGAAATTGAATACCCAAAATCATCCTTATTAGGCTCCGCGAAATGTAGACCTTTAAAGCCCCCACTTTAAAGGGATAGCTCGAATAGTTTGTATGCTATTTTCGCTAATGCGCTAATTTTCCTTCTCTGATAACTTAGAATGCCGGATGTACTCTACTAAATGGTAAACGCGCTTACTCAGCTATTTCAATGCTTGCATAATCAATGGAAGTAACCAGTCATTCTTAAATTGCTTTTTAATACTGTTCATAACCTTTGATAAAGATGTTGGAGGGGTGAAAACCAAACTTTTTCGAGGAGGATAAAAACAAAATTATCCACATATTTATTTATTAATTCATTAACTTCGCCATACAACAACAATCTGAATTATAAAAATGAAAGAAAAAATAAAATAAAATGACAAAAAACGACAAAAAATGGCAGGGACACCGCAACAGCGTAATCAATGACAGCAGGCCCAGAATATAAAAGAAAATAAGACGAGAAGAGAGAAGGAAAGAAGCTATCAATCTATATGCAGTAGGTAATCTTACCCTTCCAGATAAATTGTAAATTTTACACTAGTCTTTAACCCTTTAACTCCCATAAATGACCAAGACAGAATTTCTCCTTACAATATCAATACAATATCAACCAGAAAAGAGATATGAATGAAGAAAAATATCAATTTGGAGATAATTAGTTGATCCAATACCAAGTTCTCTGAATTAATATTGTAAGAATTGTATGATTGACAGTGAGGAGAATTGTAAATTTGATCTGGGAGTTAAAGGGTTAAAGAATATTGGCCCCTATGATTACAGTATGTTCTAGTGTCTTTACCTTTCTCTGACAAATGCCACCTATGTGTAATTTCTGCAAGTGCCATGTTTAAGAAAATTTCCAGTAAAGTGAGGGACTACTATTCAAAATTACAATATAATGAATTGTTATGATTGGTGAGACCAATCCCTAATATTTCTCCACACTAGGTTAGAGTTATTTGCATCATACTTAAGAGGGCATGCCATTTCAAAGGTTGTTACTGGCCTCCAAGATGGTGTGAAGCCGATGGAATTATTTGGAGGATCAAGGAAAAAGAAAATTTTGCCTTATCACCTTTGAATTGTCTCAGATTCGGGGTGCGTCTTATAGCCAAGTATTTTCATGCAACGAAATTCAAGAATGTCCTATTTTCTAGCTTTAACCTGGTATAAAACAAGATAAATAGATAGAAGGCTGGGAATATTGGTTATTGACTTTACTCGACTTGGTGGTTCTGAAAAGAACCGTTCTATAAATACTGCTGCAGGTACGTTTTATTCTCCTTCTTCGCCTTCACTGTCGGTCTCGAATTCATTGTTAATAATCTCCTCTGCATCCTTTTCTGTCTCTTCATTCTCTTCTTCCCAAACTGCATCGTCTTCTGAGCCGTCTAGCGCATTCGCGATTCCACAGGATTTGAACGACTTCTCGATTAAATCTTGAGGAATTCTGTTCCAGGCGCGATCGATGCAGGTCAACACCAGTTCTTTGCTCGGCGCTCTCTTCTTTCCAGATGGGGTATACGTGAACGGGCCATTTACCATCCATGTTTCATACAGCATTCGGAGTTTGGCTTTGAAAGGCTTGTCTATGCACTTGTCTAGGGGCTGCAAAACTAACGTCAGGCCACCGGCAATAAAAGCAACATCAACATTTCGTCTCGCAAGGAGGTCCTTGACAGCGTCGGTCAAATGGCCATGAAAAGAATCCCAAACCAAAAGTGCTCTCTGATGTGGCGCGAATCGGAGATTTTTCCGAATCCAATCTTTTGTTCCTACAAAAGAAAAAGAGAGAAACAACTTTGATTAGGCCTACGGCAAAAACAACTTTTTAAAACATGCTGCTATCAGATCGATATCGGAAGTGTCAATTAAAGCCCACGTGCCTTAGAAACATGATATGAATGATGTCACAATTCAGAGAAATCCTCGCGCCGAATTACTTTTCGATTGAAAGATAAATAAACAAGGAAAGAAAAATACCTTCTTTATCCATCCAGCCTCTCTTGTGTACCTGCATTCTTGGTGGTATCTGGATTCGCAGCTGACGAACGCCTTTGAAAATGACTTTCGGCGGTAGTTTTTCTCCGTTGGCTTTAACTGCTAGGACAACTTAGCAACTCTGCTTGTCTCCGCCGCACGACAAGATCGGCACTGTTCGGTTGCCCGTGAATTCGAGGGTTCTTGTGGCTGGAAGCTCAAATCGCATGGAATTCGACTATCTTCTCCTCTATGTCTGCTGGTAGACGCTGCGCCAAAGTTGTTTTCGGTCTCATAGATACAGCGTGGCGACGTTTCCAGTTGTTGTACCACCCTATATATAGATGCCTTGAACTCCGGATCGGAGCTGTGTTCCTTCGCCTTTAACCGGAGCATTACGCTATTAACTGAGAGACCTGCAAAAAATAGAACAGTACAGTTAAAGGACAAGGTAATTTACGTGCACGTGTTGTATGTTAACATTGATCTTCTGGACTGTTAATCAATTAGCGCAAATTGAAGACAAAACAATTCTTTATCGTACGTACCTTGACATCTTTGTTTGTTGTTGTTGTTTTTTCTTCTGTTTGTACAATACACCAACTATCATGCAAAAAAGTTTTCTGACTTCGTAACCTTTATTTTGTTACTGATATGATTAACTGATACCGGTGATAGGACTTTGTGTCATACAAGTCAGGGATAATCCTTCTCATAATTTCAAGTCGGCTGCACATCATCACACTCGGCTGATTTAAAATTACTTGCTTGACTACTCCCTGAATTGTACTTCACACAGTCCTATTACCATCAGTCATTAGTAGTAATGAAAACACGGAATCTTTCTCTAAATGTGACAAAACTCTTAGGAAATCATCAAAGGATCAAGATGGCATAAAGAAAGTAACAAATTATGCAATAAAGGAATAATATCCATGTTTTTTTCTTTTCTTTGCAGACCCTGAATTTGTAAGTGGCTTAAAATACTGATTTCAAAGAATGAAGAGAGATGACAGTAACATTAAAGATGTGTGTGATGGTGCACTCTACCAAAAGGAGTTTAAGCCAGGTGGCTTCCTCTCAGAACCATACAACATCTCTGTTAAGCTTAACACTGATGGTGTGGCAATATTTCATTCATCGCAGTTTGGAGTTTGGCCACTGTTTCTTCCTGTCAATGAACTCCCTCCAGCAATGAGGCAAGTGGAACAAAAATGGTCATGTCACACAGACATACATTGTTTATGTAACTGGTAAAATATAAAATTATATGTTGGTTGTGCCTAGACTGGAGAAGTGACTATCGCTTTGAGTTTTGCAAGGTTTCAACGAGAGTAAATTGTTTGCTAGTGCTTTGTAAACTGAAATGAAAAATCCTAACCATTACCGTCCATAACATGCAAACCAATAATGAATTAATATCCTATTGTTTTGGAAGGTGGAACTTTGAACTTTCACAATGTAACAACACACAGATCAGAATACAGATGCTAAGTTTGATCTTCTCCCATTTGCATTTGTCTCACAAGTATGTATACACTGTACTTTGTTTATCTAGGAGAAATAACAAGTTCAGGGTGTTTGGTGGCCTGTGGTTTGGAGAAGAGAAACCTTTCTTTTCTAAGTTCCTTAAACCATTTGTTAACACTTTGCAAGAAACAGAAATTAATAGTAAGTTACAATTTTGGTCAAACAGACCAGGATTTTACATTTCGTGTGGTTCTTATTCTTCTGGGCAACACTAATAGTGGGTGATTTTTATATATTACTAATCAACTATTTTAACCAACAGGAATTGAAGTGGTACTTCCAGATGGACTGGAAGCAAAATCTAAGATCAAGGCTCTCTCAAGCCATTTTGATCTTCCTGCCTGCACTGGTGTCTTAGAACAGGTTACATATGTTGAAAATACACGAATGGTGATGTAGCTCCCGTAACACAATTTTCAGCATTTTTCATTTCTTCATCAAACACAATCTTGTTCAGGTGTAAAATGGAACTTTTTAAATTTATGCCAATATGTATACAATCTGAATATAAGAAATTATATCATCACCAATAATGTCTAGCTTTGGTTTGATTCAGATTTTTTTGCATGTATTTCATAGGTCTCTGGCTTCAAGTCCCCCAGTCCCTTGTTACAGCTGCCAAGTTTTGACACTGTTAATGGAATTGGTATAGATTCCATGCACTGTGTGTTCCTTGGGGTGGTAAAACAACTATTTGGTTTGTGGTTCAACTCAAAACACAGTGGGCAAAGGTGGTATTGTGGAAATAGTGTTGAGAAAGTTGATATGTGCCTTTTGGAGATAAATCCCCCCAGTGTCATCACCAGAGTTCCTAGGAGTATAGAACATCATGTAAAATTTTGGAAAGTTAGGTCTTACTATCTTTAAAAAATGTTATTTTTATAGTTGTACACTGGATGATTTCTTATAATATAAGCTTTCAGATTTTCAGTTTAAGTCCAAAATTTGAAAAAAAAATTGTATATGTATAATGGAATCTTGATCTAAATTAAGTCACTGGGGAATGGGTGGATTGGTTTGTTTAATTGAGGGTTTGTTACATTGAAAACCTTCATATAATAAACTTGAGGAGAAACGACCAAATACATGTTCAAGGTATAGTTTATGATTGATTTGTAAAGGTGCACACATTTACCTGAGCAACTTTTGTCACTTAATTAGTGCAGCTTATTGCTGCATTTTGAGTTACAAAGATCAAAGGATTTTTATTGCTGATGGTCTGTTCCATGTTCATCTTCTTTTGTGTGTTGACAGTAGATTTTGTGTTTGGGCTTCTGGATTACATTCATTATAAGGAGGAATTTGTTTTATTGAGGTTTGTTTTATCAAGGTTTTGTTCCATACATATCACTCTCTAACTTTGGCTTGGCTGAAGAATATTGTTCGTTATATCAAGGATTTTGTTAAACAGAGGTTTGTGAAATCAAGGTTCCACTGACTGTACTGTATATTTCATTTGTTAGACTTTTTTAGTTAAATTGAAATACCGGTACCTGTTTTTGATCTTTTTGCAGCAACAGAGTACCGAAATTGGCTGTTTTTCTATTCACTACCCTGTGTGAAAGGTGTCCTGGATGATGAATATTATCAGCACTATGCTTTATTAGTTGATGGAATTGTCTTACTCTCAGGAAGATCCATATCCCCAGAACAACTTGAATTGGCTGGTAATCTCTTGATCCATTTTGTGGAGATGCTTGATGCATATTATGGTCAGTAAACCAGTGCATGAAGGTTCAATTGTTGTTAACTTACAACAGCACCTAATTATAAGCCTGAGATGAAAATCTTCTGAATCTGGGAAATAAAAGTCTATTGATTTTGATATAAATTAATTATTTGATACAAATTCTGTTCCTGTAGGTTCACGGTATGTTCTTATGAATCAGCACATGTTGCTGCACTTGAAGGAATCTGTCCTCAATCATGGTCCCCTCTGGTCTAGTTCTCTTTTTGTATTTGAGGACTGGAATGGAGACATCAGCAACTACTTCCATGGGACTCAGAACATAGCTGGCCAGGTTAGCTGACTTTTGTGGAAGATGATTTTATGTTGATATAGCAACAAGGTCAAATTAGGATAGCCTGTGTGATAGGCATTCAGAGGGGAGGGAGAGAGAAAACAAGAAGCATGAAGCTTAAGAATTTAAAAACATAAAATAACATGTTTAACATGTTTCAGTCTTTTTGATTTCATCAACTGAAATATTTATAGACAAATGTTGCTAATGCTTTGTTGTACATAATTTTGAATGTATTGTTAGATTATGACTGCTGTCACAAGTCAACAGCAACTCCTAGAGCTCATCAAGGAGATGCCTCCAGGAAGAGCAAAGGATTAAGTAATGCACCTTCTAGGACAGCATACTAGGTAGAGTTGGCATAGTGACTATAGCTGCATCTGTGTTCGTGTGATCCACTTCAAATCTTTTTGCAATTGTTTATCTCATCATTGGCTTTTTGCTGATTAACATTATCCTGGGTGAGAGGAAGAAAAAATAATTATTCTAATTTTTTGGGGGGCTTACAACTCTTATATGATACTCATTTGACTGATATTCTTATGTTTTGAATGTAAGCAACATTTACATTTGTCGCCCTCATCTTACCAGTATAATTATGTAAATCATAGAAAAACTTATTATCTCAAATTCTTATTGCTATTATGTTCTTTTAAAGGAGCAATAAAACTCACCTGAAAGATGATTTTTATGTTGTCAGTGCATTAAAGAGTGGCAGCTGTACCACTGAGCCATTTGTAGATGATCTTCAAGCATTCCTGGGTCTGGATTCTTTATCTTCTGTTAAGTTCTTTACAAGACTCCAAGCTGGAAGCGCTGTATTTCATTTGAAACAGTACAAAAGGGTTTCCAGAAGAAACAAATTCACAGTTGCATACAGATTGGATGAACGTCACTCTCTTGAATATGGCCAGATAGAGATTTTCTTCAAAGCACCTGTTGGTTCCACGACCTCCTGTGGCGCTGTGTTTAAGCCACTGTCGAGAACCAGTAAAGGTATCTGCGAGCAACATAAAGTGCTTGGGAGACCAGTGAGCCACATCATTGCCTTGCACCACCCACACAGGTATTTGTTGTTCCCCTTGAAAACATTATTGATATCTTTGTTTATATGGCATTTTCAGACAGTGAGGTGCATTATGCAGCTCATTTTCCCAATCACTTGGAACAAGATTCTGATAGTAAACTATTAGTTAATGTAGCCGCGGTTTGTTGGCAAGGCAATGGCAATGCTCATGATACATGTATTGAATGAATTTTATTTTGGGAAACTTGTAAAGGTTTAAAAAGAAAAGAAATATATTAAAACATGCGAAGTACTTTTAACAGTGTTATTTCTGTGAGCTGAAGTCTTTTTATACATCATTATAAATTACTACCTAGTTGTGAGCATGGTTTCTCAAATCTATTTTAATAGTTCATAAGGTTTTATACAAAGGAAAAACCATAGCAATGATTGTGGCATGGAAACCTGATTCTGTAGTTTTTGTTCAATTGAGAAAACATATCAAACACTTGATAAAGTGTTTCTTCAGCTATCCAAACATCTCAAATTTTGTCAAAAGTAACCCATTGCATTATGTGTTCAGAAATCCTGCTGAAGTACTGACTTGTCTGTTTTTGCCCTTTTTGCTTCTTTTAGATGCAGCTATTTTAAAACAATTATATGGAAAAGGCAAGCAGTGCATTAGTCTGGATTGTGTACGTTGCTTACCAGCACCTAAATATTCCCATAGTTCCCCTAGATGTGAAATTATATGGAATTCCCATAACATTTGATGTAGTCATACATCATACATTTGCTATGAAATAACTTTGGGCAATTTATTCCTGCAGTTTGACCATACAGTTAAGAATGATCCCATATCATTTCCATAGAGCAGGCACAACAAAGTGTGAATTAGCAGCTGATATGGGATAACTATGGGCACCTTACTCCCACAGTTTTCCTATGTAACTGAACGATTCCATATCATTTCCATAGAGCAGGTAAAGCAAGCGTGCTTTAACAGCTGGTATGGAATACCTATGGGCACCTGATTCCCATAGTTATCCCGCACAATGCGATGATCCCATATCATTCCCATAGAGAAAAAAAGTGAAGCAGATGAGCCATTGCTATGGAATATCTATGGGCACCTTGTTCCCATAGTATTACCATACAAATCTTTTCTAAGGCTTTCAATCTCATATACTTCCCATAGCTTGAATTTTCACAAAACTGGGCACCATATCAATCCTATAGGAAGGTCTAACCATCCCATATCTTACCCATATATGGGCCATGTATGGGCCATAATTTGCCATATCAAACCCATACTTTTACTTTGGTAAGGGTGACAAAAAAATTTCAAATCAAAATCTCTGTCCAAACACATTTTAATTTTGTTAAAGAGCTGGAAAAGTAGATTTCTCTGAAAAAAAACAAAATCTTCCTCAATTAAACGCTTCTCAAACTTGCTTTTTTGTACATGTGCTACCAAGGCAAAAAGAGACTGGAAAATTTGTATACTAATTATTATAAAACAGGGTGATAATCTTGATCTTGTGTGAAGGCTAGCTGCTTGCTGTTTGTTGCTATAAAGTTAGGATCCTGTGTCTGTACGGCTACAGTGTAGTTATTAAGACAGCATTATCCTTGCAAAATGGATTTTGGAATTCCCTAGGAATAAGAGGTGTGAATTTTCACAGTAAATTCCAACTGGGAATTTCTAGGAATTCCTAGGAATTCCCAACTATTACAACTCTGGCTCTAAAAACCTAGAAATTCTCAAAAATTCCCAGAAATTCCAAGTTTATAGCCAAATTCCAACTCAGAGCACCAATAACTTTCCCTGAAAAGCTGAACTTACTGGGAGTTTTAAGCAAAAATTTGAGGCTACTAATGTAAAATAAATACTGAAAATTAAAAAATCCTAGCTAAAATTCAAGTATTCAATGAAATTTATTTACAAGCTTAATTAAGGTTTACTTGTAAAATATTTTTGATTGTATATTAACATTAACATATAGTAATATTAGGATGGAATTTAATATATTTTTCTTTTCTTGAAAACTTTAAATGAATTAATCCTCAATTACAGCTATTCAAGTAAAATAGTCCTAATCAATCATTAAATTTGGTTAGACACAAATTGTGAATGAAATCTGCTGATTCTTTTCTATAAAATACAATATCTTAAATTATACTTACTGCAATAAATACTATCAGTCTAAAAATAGTCTTAAAATGAATCATTTAATTTTGGATGATGATACAAATGGTATTTAACCCTTTCACTCCCAGACACAGGCTTTGACTTGATTTTATGTGGTTGTAACTTATTTGGATAAAACTCTTGTGTGTGAACATTCCAATGTAAGCCATCAAGCAGCACTTTCATGTTTTACTCTTTGTTTTTGTTGATTCTGCACATTGAAATTCATTTCTTCTCAAGTTTTGACCTAGCACTCTTGGGAGTGAAGGGATTAATTACAGTTAAATATAATTGATTTTTTTAATTAAAATCTTGTTGTAACTTGTTACAGTGCTGTAACAATAAATTAGAATGAAGTTATCCTAAACTGCAGACTTAGCTGCTGTTTGTCTTTTTTTCCTGGGCTCACAGCTTTCCCTGCTAGCCTTGAATGAGGTTGTCTGCTCAACAAATAGATTCCAAGTTGCCATGTGTCTTTTCAGTAATAGATCACATATGACATCAAAATGTGGTAAGAACAAAAAAGGGGCACACGAGGCACTGATGTTTGTCATCTGTGATCTATGGGAAACAAATAAAAGAAACTTTCCAGGTATCATTTATCCCATGTTATTTTGTTTGATCATTTATGTACCTCTTGAGGATAAAGAATGTTCCAGCAAACCAAGCACCTAATTTGAGGCCAATTTAAGAGCAAGTATGAGAAGACAGATTATGTGAGAAATCTAACGCACGCTGAAATAACAGAACAACCTTCGTTTTTCATAAAATTGTAAATATGCATACTGATGTAAGGGTGTAAAGGTCAAGTTGGAAAACATTCGAGCGAAAAAAAAAAAAAGACCTTCCTTGCAATCTATCAGGTGTCGGGCCCTGAATTCCAATTTACTGTTGTTTACTGTTGTTTACTGTTATTCCAGTTTACAGTTGTTTAATGTTCTCAAGAGGATTATGAACCGGGGAAGGTAGTGCAATCATGAATTATGAATCAGGGCAGTTATAGTTACTTTCACTCCCACCACCGTAATGTACTTCAACAGAACACACACACGCACACACACACACACACGACTCACTTTGTTACAATTACAAGTCATCGAGATGCAAATATCTCATCGCATCTAATAACAAGAATTCTCGTTAACAAATATCTCGACTTTCGTCAGCCTCACAAAACTGTTAATTGGCGAACACCAGTTGGCTCTCGTAAGATCTGCAGTCAAGTAACAATGGCAAGTCTAATTTAGACTGTCAGTAATGGTGTAAATCTACGAAAAATTGGCAAAAAAGGATAGAGCGCTTAAGTGGGAGAAAAGAGTTCGGGAGAGGATTGTCATTATTCCTTGCACGTCACGGCATGATGGAGTTCACGTGAGCGGTCAGCGGCTGACGTTACCACACGATTAGTGCCAGTGTTTACTTTTTTACTGCTTAGTTGCTAGTTTGTTTGTGAGGCAGATTGCTCGGAATGTGGACGTGGAAAAGTCTTGGTAAGTTAGAGAATTCATGATATATTTTGTTACAAAATATACTATTCAAGACTCCTGGAGCTCATGCAGTTGGGCTCAAACTGGAAGAGCTACTTCGTGCTACTGTTCAGTGGAACTGTTGAGCGCGCAACAACTTTAGATTCAGTGCGCGCGCTCGTGATGGATTTCCTGGGCTAGTTAATTTAGATTTCCTTCTTTTCCTATAAAATTTTTTATTTAATCAAGATATTTATTTTTTTTGCTAAAGCACGGTCCACAAAACACGGCTACATTACTTGGCGAAGAACCACTCATCTAATTCCTTGAGGTGAGACATTTTTAGATGGATGTTAGGACTTTAGATAGGTGGGGTAAACTTTCCCCCGACCTTGGCCCCTCCAAAGGGAACCTACCATGGTTGAGAACAACTGGGGTATCCAATCAATGAAAAAAATTATTGGTGACAATCACAATCAATCAATACCAATGAATAGTAATAAATTGATTGATACTGATTTTCAAGAACTAATCAATGTCTAGCATTTGTATGGGTAAGCCATTGATGTCACCATTAAGCATTGAAAGTGGTTGTCAATTGATACCAATCAACTGGAATTAATCAACTTACTGTATATTGTTATTAATTTGATGGTAGAATCAGGAGAATAACATTGTATGTCACTGTATTATATACCTAGGGACAGTTTTATTGACAACTCAGTGTTTTAGGTTAACTTAATGGTAGAACCATGAGAATTACAATGTGTTTGATTGCATTATATACGCTTTATATAAAATATTGTCGTCAGAGCTTTGACCCCTTTGACTATGGTGATCAGTGCGTAAAATACTCTTAGAAACTCACTACTGTCCCAAAATTATTGGAAGCAGGAAGTTTGTATAAATTATGTAGATTATTGTGATTAATAAGGATTAACCTTGATATGAAATCATTCTGACTACACTCACACAAGACATTCATTGTGAAAAGTTTATTCAGGATGAGTCGGTCAGTCTTCTAGTATACAGATCCTGATACAATGTTATAAATATATAGTCTAAAACTAGGGGTTCTACATGAAGAACCTGTGCTGCACCAGATATAAAAAACCACTAAAAACCACTCATTAAATGTGGCCAAAAAATGAGTGGAAATGTGTTCCTCATCAAATGCTGCAGCACAATACCCTGAGGACCGGGTAAACTAACCTGGTTGCAGTATTAATTACTACCAAAATTACAAGAAATATAAAAAAGAAAGTGGTCAAACGTAAGACTTACCGACCTAGAATGACTTAATTTTCCTGCAAAATGCTTAAATGATCCAAAACTTCCATGATGCCACACAAACCACTTCAAAATGCCATCAGAATAAAAATTTCTGACATATTGGTTCCCATGTCAGTCAAACATCAGAAATTACATAAATTCTCAGCTGTCAAAGGAGCTACAGTAATGTATAGTTTTGAAAATTACATATGATCCGACAGGTTGGGAATGAAAAGTTAATAATATATTTAGAACCTGGCTCCTTGATAAAACTTTGTTAGGGTTGGGTTTCTTCAAAATCCTTCCATAGAATAAAAAGGTTGTAGGTCTGTCATCCATGACTTCCTCAACTCTGTCATCAAGGAGGGAAGATCTGGGAAATCTCGATCATTAAATGATAGTTTTCCTGTGTCTCTAATGACCTATTTGAAGGATTTTAAAAAAGATAACATTACCATGATATTGAAGTTCATATTGGAATCCAATGAAATAGAAAAACAGAGTAGCAAATTACATCTACATTAATGTTTTATTTTCTTCAGCCCAACAATTTCAATGCCTGAAATTGATTAGAAATGGCCTGCATGCTATGTGTCCACATTTTCTTCAACACCAATAGGCTTGAATCATTAATTTTTACTCTCCCTGTAGGGAATGTTCCCTCTTGTATACAGTTTACCCTCAGCATGTAACCAGGTTTCCCTGTAATCTTGTCAGGTAATCATTTTAGTACACAAAACTCTGACCTCATCCAGAGCTCAAAATGAAGTCCTAAAAATTGTGAGAAGTGAAGATTTTCAAAAGAATTTACTGAAGTCATGTTTTTAGCATGAAGAAAGCCTAACATTTTTAATGTAAAAAAAGTCACCAGATTACCCGCACTGGTGGATAACCCGCACGTTGTTATTCAACTTTTTGGTGGCGAAAACGTGACATTAAGGTGATACATTTCAGTCTTTTAAAAGTTGTTTGATCCAACTTTCGAAAACTTCGAAGCGTCTTTGTCGAGTTTAAAGGTCAAAGAAATTCAGACGCGTGCACAATTCTGTGTCAATATTAGCATGTACTTTATTGATAAGATTATACAGTAAAAACACTAGCGGCCCATGCCCAAATCTCAACGTTTCATACTTGACAGAATGCGAATTTGTGGCCACATTTTGTGCGAGCGATCGTTCAGCGCCATGTTGATTTGTTGAAAAAAAGCTGGGTGAGTATTAAAAGTTGAATTATAAAGTACTGTCGGCGATTTCTGAAAAAATCGATATCTCCGGTTCTATTGGGCCTAAAGAGTCCCTTAAAACGGGAAAATTCTCTTTAGCTCAAGCTAGTGTAAAATGGAAATTTGTTACTGATGCGCCGGATATCTATGGATAATTTTTGTCACCATCAGGGTTTTGTTTTCACGCGTGCCGATAATAATTTGTTCTTTGCGCAACTAATTATGCGTGAAATAAACTCGAGTCGGCATCATGTTTTCGTGCCGCTTTGCGGCACTCTTAACACAATAAAATTTACTTGAGAGGTGGAAACGCATGTTGGTGATATTTTTTTTTTCAATTCAACTACCACTGGATTTTAAAATTGTCACATAACCCGCACCTCCCTATTACCCGCAGTGGCGCGCGTTTAATGCAAAATCAGCAGATTACCCGCGGGTAAACGACCGGAAATTACGGTACTTACCTCGATTGGAAAGTCAACAATACTTAGACCATTACGGGACTTTTTGGTCAGCAAAAAGCCTGGTTGACCGTAACATTTGAACCGGACCAAGAAGGCTCCCCTTTTTTCACTCTGCAGTTTCTTTTTGGCCTCTTCTTCTGACATATATCCAGCAAACCAGCTGAGGAAGATGAAACAGTTTGTGTGATTTTCATCCAGTAAGGTTTTACAATTTCTAGTTCACACGATGTGCTTGCTGAATTTTACACCTTTGTTGGCCTAATTGGCCAAAATTTCTTTTTTTTTTTTTTTTTTGGGGGGGGGGGGGGTTGGGAGGATCATAATCATGCAAAAGTTTGGTGACCCAAACCTAAACTAATTTAAGGTACCAGTAAAATTAACTATTAACTATATTTACCTTGTTCTTTTACCATCAGCATCAACAGAAACTGAGTTCTTCATCAGATGGAGCATCTAAAGGTTAAAGTTGTAGTTAAGTATCATATCTCTTGGTTGCGCTGTTGGCATACTCCTCTTTGAGCCTTTTTTAAAAAGAGGCATCATCTGTACTTCATGAAGTTAAGCAAAATTGTGGCAGGGCAAGGTTGAAATTTTTTAGAGGGCAATTGTAACAGTTACACTGTATTTTGGAACTTTTAAAGGTTAGGCATTTTCCTTGAAAAGTAAATAAAATGTGTTTTTATTCTTCTATTGATCCACAAATCTTGTCTGTTTTTTTTTTTTAAGCATATGGTCAACATTTATTACATGCACATCATCATAACAATTTTTCCTTCTGCAATGCTGCTCGTGATAGTGTTTATAGGATTATTGTACCTGTAAATGAAATGTTTTAATTGTCATCACAGTCATCATTTCTGTAGTTGATATACTATCAAGAATGAGTTAACTAATATGTAATGGTAACATGTGATTAGAGTGTAGTACTGTTATCTATAGCTGAAAAAATGTACAAACAGTCACAAGTCAAGCTCTCAGGTCATCACAAAGTAATTATACTGCAATGTAGAATTGAAAAATTACAATCAGTGGAGATGTACTGGTTGTATGTAGGTAAATTCTGTAATCATTATATTGTGTTGAAGGAATAGTATTTAATATGTGCTTTTGGGTTACTCTTATTAATATTATTGGCATTTGTAACTCCTTTCTTTTACCTTCTTTAGGCAGCCTTGCATTCCTTCATTGGGAGATCCAAACCACACTGAGAGTCTTATGAAGTTATGGCGGTAGACAGGTGCAGATTCCTTTTTTTCTAAACATTTTTTAAGTACAACAACTTAAATTTAGCATCAGGTTAAGGCAGTGTTGGGAGATTTGGTGACCAAACTTGGTTACCAAGCTCTTTGTACTGTACCATTTATGGGTCCCAGCTTAACCCTTGGTTGGGGCATTGTGATGTGGTCCTAGGTGCACTGACTGCAGTAGAGTGTATGGATGCTAGGAATCAGTCATTGTGGATGGTAAACTGCAGTACCTTAGCAACCCACTAAGGGGTTCCTCCATTTCCACCATGTAAAAAACTGGTTTTTGATCGGCTGAGGAGGAGGTAACTATCAATAACATTTTATTACACTAGATTTTTTTTGACAGGCATGTACATTTTCACCTTCTCAAAACTAAAATGTTTATCAGCACCATTTTTTGACCTTCCCAACTAAATGAGAAATGTCCTCAACATGCTAGGCATTTTTATTGGGAAATGTCTGCACTTTCACTTTGTCATAGCACACGTATGTTGTCAGCATTGTAGATAGGTAGGTTGAGTTAATCAATCTTTCTTGGTGTTTTGGTTATCTTGCATGGTGCAGTTAAAGTGACAGTTATTTGAACTAACTGCGTTATTATTGACTACTTATGCAGAATTTCTTTGTATCTAATATAAGATAGCTCTGACTAGTCCTTACCATATTTGCCCATGAGGACATACATAAGAAATTTTAACAAGGCAATTCCTTCATGCTGTAGGTATTCTGAATATGATCCCTTGACAGCACCTTCAAAGTCCTTCCAACTCTATATAAAACAGATTTTAGTGTAATAATGTCATGTAAACCTATGTAATTTTTATTATTTCTTTTTGCCATATTATGGGATCCCTTTTTGTAAGACAATAAAATAAGTCAAAATAAGTATAAGTTAGTCAAGAAGCTGTTCAGTCCTTTATTTTTCTTATCATATTTTGCACAGTTAGGTCGGTTGCAGAGGGGTCTTTTTGGAATGGTTTGAAAGAATCTGTCATTAGTCCTAAAAAACAGTGCTCAATAATTAAGAGATGTTAATGTGCATTTTAGCAGGGTATCAAATCATTTCATACCCAAACCGCAGGTCAATTTGTACCAGTCTCAACATACATTCATTCAAAACTCCTCACATGCAAGCATGTGAGCAGATGTTGATTGCATACGACAATTCAGTCGAGTGAAGGGAGTTAGAGACAAACAAAATTCAGTTGCATACTTGTGACCTTTGAAGCAGAAACAACTAGTTTGTGTATTTGTTTGTCTCCCTTTGGTGGTCACATTTAAAAAAAATGCATGCCACATAAACAAAATATGTTCTATGAAAACTGAAATTACTTAAAATGTGCTTAACAGGTTAAGCATACTCTGACTCACAGTTTGGGTACAAAATGACTCAACTGACTGGGTACCAATCAACCTAGCTGGGTATGAAACAGGTTTGTACCAAATTACCTGTTGAACCTGTAACCTAGTTGCTTTTTAAATTGTTTTTTAAGGTGGATTTTGTTATTCTATCATACATCTCTGTTGTATCATTGTAGTTATTGTTTGGCAGATGTATTTTAAAATGAAAAAAAGTTTACTGTAGGTTCTAGAGAGCAATAGTGTCATAGTTCTGCATGTATATAGACAGAGCTTAACAAGAAGGGGGAAGAAGGAAAGTGATAAGAAGGACATTCATAAGGATGCCTCTCTTGTGAAATTCACCCTGGCAATCATCAATTGAAAGTAAACAATTACAGTTGCACCTTTTCTTTCGGACCACCTTTTATGGATGACCAGAAGTCAGACAGTTCATTATTTGCTTCTTCAAAATCAAGGAGCTCCTCTGTGAAGATGATCAATTAAAGAGTGGTTCATACAAAAAGTCAATGGTATACTTGACAAGCAACGAAATCAAAGTTGTGCTGGAATTTTATCAGTGCATGTATTAAGTTTCTAAAGAAACTGCAAAGAGTTTCGTTGGTGACATTTTGATTGTTGGCCCTTTGTCAGAGCAAATGTGTGTACTACAGTATATGATTTGCAATTTAAATAAAATATGACGCACCATATACATGTGTTTATTTTTATTATACAGTTATATAACTATACTATTTACAAGGTGGAGCACTTGGTTTTTTTTAGGTGCCTACCTGTAAATTAATCAATTAAGTAGCCATACTTATAAACACAATGAAGAATGCAAATCTTCTCTAGTAATAGCATTCATTTAGGTCACAATAGCTGTGTTGTGAAGTTTGCCAAGTCACTTTTACTCACATAGCTTCTTCACCCAAAAATTTAAATAAATAGTGGCAAAATGTAAAGAAAGCCTTGAATATGCTGAAAGGGGGGGGAATGGGGCTGAAGGCGACCCTTTTATGGTGTGGTATCCCATCCAAGGAGAATAATCATACATCCTCAGTAGTTCTTTCTTGCCACTGAAACAAAGGCAAGTGCTGTAAATATAGACCAATAGAGATCAACAGCTGGTAGTTATTTAGTTTTGGTAGCAGGAAAAACTAACCTTCTGTGGTACTGCTGGTCACTGATGAACTTTCATCACCATCTGTCTCTTGGCCTTTCTCACCAATTAAGAGACTGAACTCAGACTGGAAATCAGCTTCAAAAGATTGATAAGCTAGCATGTTCACCAATTTTTTTTCAGCCCTCTTGCGTCGTGATCTCTCTGCTTTAGCCAAAATGTGTAAGCTCTTTTCTTGGGAGGTGGTCCAAGGTTTTTGAAAGAAATTAATCTGACTGTCAGATAAACTGCGTGGTCTCTGTTGAACATTTCCAAAAGTTTGATCAACTGTGAAATTAATTGACCAAGTAGATTAATAAAATTCCACAGATATATTCACCAAATAATACTGTAGTATAGAATTTAATTTGGCCACATTAAATCTTTTTTTTTACAATAAAGGTTGCAGATGGAAAGATGCAAAATACTAGCAATAGGGAGCACTTTCTAGATGAGTGAAATTTCCCAGGAGGTTTTTCAGGATCCAAGTCATGACAAGTTTATTTTTCTTTTCTTTTCTTTTTTTTTTTCCTTTTTCATTTTTGAAATTCATAGGTGAGGCTTTTTGAGAGCCTGATTGAGCAGTGGCAGATCTAGGGGCCTGGGGGGCTCAGCCCCCCCCCCTTATTTTGTGTAAAAAAAAAAGAATCACAGAAGGAAGAAAAGCTGGCAGGGCAAGTGACAAAAAACCTTAGCCCATGGTCTGGATCTGCCACTGTTGAGATTGGTTTTTCAGTAGACAAACTGTTAGAGGCAAATTGCATGAAATTGATGTTGGTTAACCAAAGTGATACATTCTTCTAAATACCTGTTAACAAGTACTACCTTGCTAGCTATATTCTTTTGATTTGACTTGTTGTACACCAGGTGTCTATTATTATATCCAGGCATGAAAGTACATCTTATGAATTTGTAATCTTATGGAGGCTTTACTTCTCTTAATGTCACAATTGAAAAAAGATAAGTCTTTTGAGATTGTAATTTTGGCTAATGGCTTTTCATTGGCTTAATTCTGAGGAACCCCAAGAATTGAGGTTTCAACTACTTTTTTCCTATCGATTATTCCCTTGTCCCACTCTTACCCTTTTGTTTAACAACCATGAGTTCCAAACATACTTCACGGTAAATATTCTCATCTAGAGTTACACTCATTGTTATCTCTTGGCCATCTGCTAGTGCTTTCAGTTCCTCTGTGATCAAAACCTCTTCCAAAGCTTCTAGAAGCTTGCCACTTTGATAATTTAGCCACAATTCCTGTAGCCCTGGCAGATGAGTTGCTTCTAACACACAAATGATAGAACCTTCACAAAGATACTTTATCATTACTCCTGATGGAAGGACCACTGATGCAAACAAGCCAGCAAGAGTCACAGGATCATTTATGTACCTCTTGAGGATAAAGAATGTTCCAGCAAACCAAGCACCTTTTGAGGCCAACTTAACAGCAACATGAAGAGAAATTTCTATGTGGAATGAATTTTTGAAAATGAAGCCACTTGTCAGCTGTTGGCATTAGTCTCAATTGGACCATCTGCTTTCCATTTGTTACAAATTCTTACTTATTTTTAGTCCACATGATACAGTAAGAATTTGGACCTCAACACTTGTGGATTGGACTCCAGGGCTGAGTTGTTAAAAAAATTATTACTTTAACCTAGGCATACAGTAAGATTAATTTGTGAAATAGGTGTACTAGTATGTAGGTAGTCTACAAATTCTACTTTGATTATTTCTTACGTTTCTTATGTTTTGCCTCAATGAAACTCAAATATGCAATAGCCAGTGCTCTGGTGTGTGCATTGATACAAGAGAAATTAATGGGCAATTAGTTACAACTACTTTTCTAACAACTGGACCCTGATCAACCAAGAGACCTGGTTGTAACCCTGGATCAGCTATTAGGTCACTGTGTCATGTTTACTTTTCATCAACTGAAAATATAATGGAGCCATTCCTGGTGTAGTCATTAAGAATGCCTGTCTCATCCCCTTCCCTCACAGCTCTAGGTGCAATTGTAAGTTCTGATCTAACTTATGGGTTAATTGATGGTTTTTCTCCTTCTTCACAGGTTATTCCCCCAACTCCTCCAGTTTTTCTCCCACCCTAAGAACCAAAATGTTCAATTTAAAACAGGTTATTTGATCTCTTCTGTCTTCAGTAGGTTGAAAGGTATACTTTTATTTTTCAAGTACTATCTCGCTTCTGAGAAAAGTAACATCCCACCCAGAAGAGAAGCAAAAATCCAAGTCACTTCTGATCCATGAGCCCTAGTGCAAACAGTGACAATGTATTAAGGCAAATACAGTTTACCTCTTGGCTCTCTTTCATTTGGAGGACAATGAACTACACAAGGACATCTATTCTGTAACCTGAGCTCCTCTTCATCCACCTGCCTTCCACCTAAAAAAATGATCATCCCACCATTAAATTCAGTCATTGCTCTTTAGTCACTGCATGATCCTTTTCATGTTTTCAATAAATTTGTTTCAAGTAAAAAATAACCATAGTTACCATCATTAGAAAGCAGTTGTGATAACTTTTTACAATGGGGTTATTTTTCAGTTGGGTTCTGTGTAGTTCTGTGAGCTTAATGGCATTATTATAATAATGCTTTCAACTTTCTATGAAAAATCTGATTGGTCAAGAGCATTCTATCAATGTACTATAGTGTATCAGTGAAGATGATATGAGAACCCAGAATCTACAGGTGGTATTGCAGTTATCAGGTTGAGTTCAAAGTCAGCCCTAATTAAACCCCCTGTCCATGTAGTGTTCTCAAACTTTTACAAATTCAGAGAGGTTTCTTCTTTTGCAGGTTGTGTGAAAAATGTATTATAAAACAATTATTGAATTTGGCTTTTGCATGATATCATGGATTGTCAAATTCATGTCAGTGTTATCTGCCTTAACCTTCAGCTTTGAGAGATAACCAAGACCTTGGTTTGGTAGTTAATAAATTATGTCATGCTCAACCTCATCCAATAATTGCTCTTTCCCTGTGCCATTTTCTGTCATTCAGCCCCACTTAAATGGAGCCTGGCTGCCTAGAATAAACATATCCTCCAGATTTTACTTTTTATTTTGAAAGATGTGTGAGAAATGAATGTATGACAAATTCAGAACTTTTAAATGATTTGTGAACTTCTTCAACTGTCTTTTTTGTTCAAACATTCCCCTTTTTCCTACTTAACTATATACCGAAGATATATCATCAACCAATCCAATTACTGATTGTTCTTAATGACACTTACTCTAGGCTGCTAGACCTTAACTGTATGGATGAGAAAATGTAGGGGAAGGTGGTTGTGGGAATAAGCAGGAAGATCCAAGATCTTGGATCGGTTATCTGGGGTTCTGGTTCCAAGCAATTAGCGAACTTGAGTAGATCCATGGCATCCATTGCTATATTTGTGCGTGAGTGTTTGGGTTTGGGGGACGGGGGGAGGGGGTTGTTGACTCCGTGCCTCAAGAAACAAGACACTCACCCGACGTCTTCAATGCTTCTGTGCGACAAAGAGGCTGATCCCCTCTGCTTTCTCCCATCACTAAACATTTGACCACTGCATCGCAGAGGTCTTTGCTATATCTTAGCTGTTTTCTTTGTTCCTCTAGGCAGAGTTTTCGTCGTAAAATAAAGTCGTTTAGTCTCCCTACCAGCTCTAAACACGTGACGTTCTCTAAAAGTTCCCTTAAAAATGATAGATTGTCAATGTCCATCATTTTAAGCCTTTCAAGCTCTTTAAAGAGTTGCAAGGGAGAAGTGATCGTCTCAAGTTTTCCTTCTGAAATAAAATCCATGCATAAGTATTTCATTTGTTCCAGCTTTTCTTTTGTGATATTTTCTGCTATCCTTAAAATAAACGATCTGTAGTTTGTTTCCATTTCCTCGCCCTTTTCTGATCATGAAGAGTTCCAAAATTCAGAGTTGAGAGACAGTGGTATTTACCGATATGAACTACACATTCGCAAATGGAAAGTAAAAAACTTAGGGTATTCCCCTCTGTGCTATATTTAGGTAAGACTCTGTGACGTCATGAGTGTCTGTTCCCATGTATTACACAGACAGCTGCGCGGCTGGAATTACGCCGTTACGTTTCTCAGAGTAGCTTGTTTTGTCTTGGAAAGCTTTGATGTATGCATTAAAAAGATAAAAAAAACGGAGATCCCTGGATTTCACGATAAGAAATTGATAATTTTCATTCAAGCGAAAATACACAGGGCACGACGAAGATCCAGGCTTTTCAGGGCCTCCGAGCTGCTTGTCACGCACACCTCTGTGCAAACTTCTGGTGCTTGCGTCACTTTATCGAAAACGAATGAAGGGAATCAATACGTGAAAACACGGCAGGTATTGGGTCCTTTCATATCACCCACGTTCCTGAGATATGGTGAGTCTTAAGTATGAGAAGACAGATTACGTGAGAAATCTAACGCTCGCGATAATCTTTATTCGATCACCGTGATACGTTAACTAGTGAACTTTTGGTTGTGGAAGTTTTACTAAGGATCACTTGATGAAAAACTTTATCGTGTACTTGAGAGTAAATATTATCATTCCCATTTCATAGAGGAATGGGTGTTTCCACGCTAAAGGCTTTCTAAACCATCAATTGCGAATAACTTCGGGGCGATTTGCATTTTCGAGTTAATTGACATTCTGTATTGGCTAAGATACAAGTTTCGCAGACCGTGACACACAGGATGACGGTTTTCTCTGGCAAAACTTCTTGCGTCTCCACAGGGAGACAGTTTTCTCTGGCAAAAATTATTGCAACGTCTTTTCAGTTCTGAAGATTCCGTTTGCATCGATATAGCTTCGACCAGTTTAAGAAAAATCCAATTATCTTTTTGAGTATTTTCAACTTCTTGTTTTCCTAACTAACTGAAGCGTTAAAACAGGAAAGAAACGTATATTGTGTTTCTGTTGTATTGTGTACGGTTGTATTTGTGGTCAAGTAGTAATTAACAAATACATTCATGTTCCTGTTGCTCGTGGTAAGTCAGTTGTTTGAGACGTCAAATCGGCTCACGTCGTAACTACGAGAAGCCCTAACAGCGTGTTTTAATTCTCAACTGTAAGTATAACACTTAAATTTTAACCTCACTAGAAACTAATGTCAACTCAGCTATAGTTTGAGGGATGAATTTTATCACAGAGTAACTGGAAGCCAGTTTTTCCATTTTCTTCAATGCCATTCCATCACAATATGTTTGGCGTTTATTGGTGAGGACATGCCGAAATATAATAATTCTGTCAACCCAACCTACGAAAGACAATTGGAGAACATTCTACACCTTTATGTTAGATATCAATGCCTTTGCCTTGCTCGGAGTTGCTGTCAATAAAAATTATTATAACTGAATGTAGTCATGTTCTAGGAGATTTATTTCTAATTTTTTCACTGTTTTTATTCATTTTTTGTTCTTCAGGTTACACTCATGGACAAGAGAAGTAAGCTGATCTTTTTAAGCTTGTAATATGCAAAGTATATCAATTCAAAAAGTAAGAAACATTTGAATATTTATTCATAACATTAACTACTCCTTTTTGTTTGCGAATATCGACCAGAGTTGGAAGAAAATTTAAACGAGAAATTGGCGTCTGATCATTTTGATGTTATAGCAGAAGCCATCACACCGAAAACGTTGGGAGCTTGTATTACGAACACTTTTTCGAAGGCATTTGAGGTACGTACGTTGTTAGTGTCGTTTTCAATTTTTTAAAGTGCTCAAAGTATTGTGGAATTGCATCGGAATTTCTCTACTTCGCTCTGTGTTCGGCCAGTTGATCAATAACGCTATCCAACGAATAAATTCAGTGCTATCCAGTGGATTAGAATTGATAAATTAAAACGTACTGCGCTGTCTACCGGATAGAGCTTCATCCGGCGGATGGCATACCACCCTTCACACAACCAGTCGAGGCCTGATGAGACTGGAAACAAAACTGCAACCAATCTTGACGTGGTCACACGCGTTTCCTGCGCGTATTTACTCTTTAACCCTAAGAGTGACTGGCATCTAACTTCTCCTTACATTCTCACCCTGAATCACTCATCAAGGTCACAAGAATAATAAAAGTAAATGGTCACCAACTCAAGAAGCTCTCGATTGTTAAACAAATTCTCCTTGTCAACACCTAAGGAAATGTATAGAGAACAGTATGGAGAATATGCATACTGATGTTGGGGTGTAAAGGGTGAGGGCTGCCGTGTGGTTGCTTTTACTTTGTGTTATCATAGGCTCTTTGTATTATTTCCTTCGTCTGATTGACCTTTAGTGATTGGTTTTCTGCCCGATATGAGAAAAAAGCTGAAGTATAATTATTGTGATACAGTGACAGACAACCGACACGGCTGCGTTTCATATTACTGTTACCATTAATGTTCCTTTTCAGCTTTTAAAATTTCCCTCTGCTATTTTTTCAATTAGTTTGTTTTGAGTAATGTTCTAGTGTTCCGTAGCTTACAGTTCATCCTCAGCGTTCGTTTATCATGGGGTATAGATACAGGCAGGAAGTTTGGAATCCACGAGAGAAACATCTTGAGTGCTCTAAAAACTTCCTAAGTGCACCCTTACCTCGATATAGACGCACGGCTAAAAGCACGCACCAATTCTCCTATAACATAGCGGACACAGTAATCTCGTTTAGGCGAAAGCGTTTCATGAGTTTTATTCCAAACTGTAAAAGAACACCCGTTTATTTTAACAATTTGTCCATGGAAAATTCACCTTTTTTAATCGATTAACCCCTTAACTCCCAAGTTGTATTATTAATTCTTCCCTCAAGCTGCGACACGTTTCCTAGTAAATTAGTTACGAGAAATTGGTGTGAGATCAGGATAACAACTTTTACCTGAGTGTTCTCATTACCTGTTGGCTGGATGGTATATAAATATAGGTATCTTATCAGACGTTTTGGTGTGTAGTATCGCTGAGTATTTTGACGAGCCCGTAGGCGTCAGGAATTATGGACTACTTTATTGCACAACTAAACTGCATTGCACTGTCCTATGCTTTTAGCATTCAGTTTCATAATTTTTTCCTCCTCTGATCATGTGAATCAAGGTTAGTGGGTATCTCAGATACCAAGCTCTTCAGGACAGGCCTGATGTTGAAGAACTCAAAAAGTTGGCAAATTCCGTGGAGGAGTTTACTACTTGTCTCATTGACCCTCTGAAAACGGACACAAGAGGCAGAGAGGCTTTTGGTGATTCGCTGGACTTGATCATAGACAAAGCCATAGAGTATAATCAAGGAAAGGTAAGTATAACCACCCTGATAGGTTGATACATAAGTTTGCATTTTGGATAAAGTATTACGGAGACATATCCCGTCGGTGGTTTTGTAAGAAGGGACATCCACACGAGTGATGTTGGTGTTAAAAAAAACTAAAAACCTCGATTGATCATTCAATTTCCACTGCAAACTTTTCTCCTGTAAGTAATTCGTAAAAATTTTGGCCACTACCTCATCGAACTTTTGGTTTAACGTAAATTAAGCCTTCTGGCTTTTCAATGTGTCTCCGCCGTATGAATTAATTGTCAATAAAAAAACCATTACAAAATTGCCGTTCGCCTGACAATACTCTTCCCGGTAATTTGATCATGCAATCGGCCGTTCTTATTTGTGGCAAATATCTCAGTTTAACGTGGTCTACTCCAGTCATCTATAAAAAGACAAACAGTTGTTTAACCTTTTTTCTTCAAGTTCCTCTCCCATCCAGTTGTCTACAACTTACTCGAAAAAGTATGGAGAGGTCGATTTGCAGGCCTGCGTTCGAGGTGCATATGGAAATGGAGATTGCTAAAGCTCTACAGTCTACTGGATATCATCCTTTTCCCATTCATGTTTGCCATCCTATTTTTTACCCATTCCATCAATGCATGGCGAAGAAAGTCGAAGGGTATGTGGTTTAATTATATGAAAACTATTTTTCTTCAATACAAGTATATTCCGGTTTCTATTGCTCAATGTTTCGGTAGAGGAATGTTTCTGAACGAGATGAAGAATTCAGGAATTCTAATAATCACATGAGCAATTATAATTCTTTTCAAGCTTTGTGGATGTTGTCAAATGATCCACTTGACTTTGTCTCAGGAATTGTTGGGCAATTATCCTCACCCTGACGAGCAATAGTTACTTGATGCCATCGTCAATAAATTTGCGTTATTGAGCAAGCGTGTCGTCAAGATGGCTGGATATTGGCTGAGTTCTTTTTTCTGCGTTTTTATGGACTGAGACGAAGTCTAGGATTTCGTTTTATGAATTAAGAATTTCTTGTTTATTTCGAGAGAAGAAAAAAGAAAGCCAGCTATTTTGAAGCAAAATAAACCCACAAGAGTCGTTCATGTTTTCTTTATTTTGACTGTCTTCTAACACTTCTAGCGACTCCATGGCAGACACTCTCCGGAAACTACGAAATCTTTTGTAAGTTCGTTCCGAGCAATTTTCTTTCTTGCGCGGGAGTGGGTAATCCAGAGCGGGCAAACCCCATCCTGCCCGCTCGGATAGCAAATCAGAATACAGGATTCGCTACGGGCACCGCCATCTATATAATAAATGACAGCTCATATTTTTGTGTCTGCAGCTATAGAACTTTGCTTCATTCTTAATGCTATCGGTAAGAGAGGAAAAGACGACTTCAAGAAGATGATAGACTGCATAAGATACATGGTACGAAAAATTGGCGTCAGATCCGCCAACTACTGCCTGATAACTTTCAAGAAGGGAAAGGCTTTCCAACACATAAGGTTCGACGAAAATGAATTATTGAAAAGCGGTGGTGAGCTTTTACTTAAAAAGCTTGATATTCTGGCTCGGAATCCATCCGTTAATTGCAGTCCAGCACTACATGATGACTTTGATCAAGCATCAGAGGCCTTTGAAAACCAAGCCGCTCTCGGTATCAAATCCGAAAAGGTAGTTTTTTATTTATTTTTTTCTTTGCACAACATCAACTTCAGAGAAACAGAGGGAAATCTCAAGTAACAAAATGGTTTAATCTGCCTCGTGGTCTTTTTTATTGCCACCCAGGTCATTATACTCTTCACCAATGATAGGACCGGATCATTTGGTCCTCAAAAGGGAAGACTGCTTTTGAAGACAAAATATCTAACTGAGACTATTGGTGCGAGAATTGTGACTGTCGCCGTTGGAGAACGTCCTCTTGTGGAAGAATTGGAGCTTATTTCTTCAGATAAGCAAATCATACGTTGTCCATTAGAAGATCTGGCTAAACTTGGCAAGATGTTGCTACGAGGTAATTCTTGTCGAGTGCTATTTTAAAGAATTCGAGAACGCCCAGCAGAATAGCAATAAATATACGACTAAAGCTCGTACAACTTCAATTTTTTATCCATGTCTAAGGGCGGTTAGGCTCGTGATGTGTTCCATACCACTTTAATTCCTGACCTGATTAGGGTAACCACAATTCATTTACGTGAACTAACAGCGTAATCTGCTTAGCTCTATCCCTTTCCAAATGAAGATTATATCACGAAGCTAATAATGCTTAAAACGCAAACATTTTCTGGATATCATTTAAAATGTTCTCCATTTTTTAACAAAAAATGTAATCCGATTTAATACTCTTATACGACTTTTAAGAAATGTATGATCTAATTGACCTATATTACAACTGTCCACTTTTTTCTTCCATTTGCAGAGGTTTACGAGGAGGATCTTTATGGTAAGTCTGTAATTAACATTGACCCAGGTTGAATTCTTGGACACACAATCCTCTGATGGTTCTCCAGATGTTACAAATTTTATCCAGGTTCACGTTAATTCTCGTCCAGCATTACTATTACTGTATTTTTTTTTTAATAAATTTATTTGTATAATCTGTTGTTCTGTTGGCCTCAAATGTGAGTTGGTACACTTCTCGGTAGCAATTGAAGGCAAAACGTTATTGGCGAAGAAATTATTTCTCGAGAAAACATTTGACCAAGTAAATAAAAGTGTGACCCGTTAAAAACACTTCCATTAATCCTGCACTAAAAAAAGTGCAAATGCTAATAAATCCCCTTAAGGAACATGGTGAATCCCATAGAGCTAATTTCTAGGGCGGTAAAAACTATAGTGTTGTTGTACTTAACTTAGTCGCGTATATTAACGCCAGAATGTTTGATAATAATGTTCTTTCTTTTCCATGTACAGATCAATATCTTGATTACTTCACCACACCATACTTCATATTCTTCAGAGACAGCCTTAGCTATCTGTGTTTGTTGGGTCTCCATGTGGCGATCTGTCTCTCGCCATCTGTTGTCTCCTTCTCCGGGCTGGAGTGGGTAATCTCGATATTCTTTGCCGGTCGCTTCCTGTCCGAATTTAAAGAATACGAAAACAGGAAAACGACGAAAAAACTGAAGAAAGACACAAGGCATTCCGAAAAACATAGAAGATATGTTTATCAGCAGTCAATTGACTTGGATTCACCCATTGAAGTAGACGATTTCCTCTCTCAGATGAGTTTCAGCACCTTAGGAAAATACTTCATGTAAGTCTATACAATAACGAGTGAATAATCATTATTAAAGTGTTGTTCATCCATTGTCACTGCATCGATGAAATTGAGATTTGACGTCTTAGCCACACGGACAGCAATTTCTTTTTCAACTCCCTTCATTATTTCAAACCAGAATCAAAACAAAAACCAGCAGGCAAAATGTGACCAAGACAGAATTTATACTTAAAATATCAGTAAAAATCAGGCAGAAAAGTGATGAGAACGAGCAACAATATCAATTAGGGGATTATTGGTTAATCCAATGCCAAGTGCTCCAAACTAGCATCATAAGAATTTTTTGGCAGGCAGTAAAGAGAATTATAAATTAGATCTCGGGAGTGAAAGGGTGAAAAATGGTAAAATGATTAATTCCATAAATACACTTTGCGCGTGCATCATTACACCAAAATATGTAGGAATCCTGCCTTTTATTTCTGGTTTGCAGTCATTTTTTTTTTCGTTTTCTTTTTCGGATGTTGCTTAACATCAGTTTATTTGGGTGTTGACGAAGGAAATCAATCTATTTTGTCCGAAGGCAATTCAGTCTACTCTCTCCTAGTCTCTGCTCGTTTATCGATAACCTCAATACTTTTTCCCCAGTGACCGGTGGAATGTGCTGGACTTCATCATGCTTGTTATTTTTGTGGTCACGTTCCTGCTGCGCATGATAACTTGGGGTGTGTCCGCTTCTGCGACTGGGAATCGAGCGTTGGTGATCGCTGGCTATTGCTATGGCCTAAACACTATGATTCTGACGTTAAGGGTATTTGGCCATTTGATGGAGGCGAGCAAGGTGACAGGCACAACACACATAGCTCTTATGAGCATCATTGAAGATGTGGCCACAATTTTCTTCCAGTTTCTGGTTGGAATCCTTGCGTTTTCTCTGGCAATAAGCAAAATTTATCTTGCCGAGGATTCATTCTTTTCAAGTGAGGATAAACTAGAGGCCAAAAGGTCAGTATCGGCTGCGGGTAGTATTGCAAGCTCAGTTGTGTAGTGATTTTTGTCTAATGAGGGTGAGTCACTAAATAGTCATACAAGGTCCTCACTACCAGGAAAGTACGACACTTTGGTAGCGGTCACTCACGCTTCAGAAGGCTTCTGCTCTGGCCACTAAGTACACCTTTTCACCATTTAGATTGATTCTGAAGCACTTCCTGCAGGAGTTCCTCAGTCGGCAGATTGTGTTAATTAAGGCCTAATTTCTGACTCGAAATTGACCTTGAAATTGAAATCTCTTCTTTTGTTTTCCAGGGGCAATATGCAGTGTGGCAGCTCTGGATTATACTGGTAAGTTAGATTTTTTTGCCAGATTGAAGAAATATTTATTATCAGTGTATCTTGCTAATTGTGAAATACCAAAACTTTGTACAGTTTCTAACGTTTTTTACCAAGAGATTATGATATCTAGCTTTTAGTAATTAACTTTTACTTTTACTGGGAACGTTCTTCACCGTCTTGTGTGAAGTCTTAGTAAGTGGCAATTTGGGTCTATGGAACATACGTGGGATGATATTTCTTCTTCATCAACTCAATTCTTTCCTTTTGTTTTAGTTGGTGGGTAATTATCAGGCATCTTTGCTGGACGTTGCTGGGCGTGACAGAATTGGAGCAATTTAACGCTGGCATGGAAACTGCTTCAGATTATCTGGCTCAAATTTTGTATGCAGTATTCATTATTTTCGCTCTAATCCTCCTTGTGAATATGATGATTGCTGTCCTCTCCAATACATATGAACGAGTCCAGGTATGACTTTGAGATACTTTTAATTGATCGAGATTGCGAGTACGAATTGATATTACTAATTGAGGATGTGATTGTTATCTTCATTTCCACAGAAAAACTCTTTGAAGGAGTGGTCTTTCAAAAGAGCGGTAACAATTCGTACCTACAGGGACTACCATCCGATTCCGGTACCGTTAAACTTGGTATCCCAGCCTGTTCTGGCATTGCGAAAGGGATCGAAATACGAACTTCGAGATAAATTGGACAATGAGATATTACAGAAAAAGGTCAGCTAAAGTTTACTACGGCTTCTTGCGAGATTCCACTTTTTACCATTTTCACATCTGGCGCGCTGAAAGAAACATTTAGTTCGTATGTTTCTCTGGTATCCTATCAACCTTTTTTTTTAACGAAACACCTAATTCATATAATACTTGTAGTTATTTTTTTGTTCTTGCCAGGAGGAAGCCTTAGATAGCATGACTGAAAAGTTAAAAATGATTTATTTTGCGAAGCATGGATCCACATTTCCACTATCAGGTGATGTTTCTCTCACATGCCATCAAGATTATCGCATCCAGTGTTTGGAGTTGCTAATTTTACTCACTCCGTGTGATTTTAAAGACAAATGATTAAAGCAAAGTGGCCGCTTCAACCATGGTTGAAAAAATAGCGCATCGGGAAGGTTCGAGCTGACGCTTCAATTATAAAAGATGTAACATAGTAATTGAGATTGTATCAAATCAACTCCTTTTCACAGATGAGAGTAAAGTCAACACCATGCTGTCAGAAACGGACAGAAACCGGGAGATGTGCAATCAGATCGTCAGACAAGTATTCCCCGATCCCAATCAAGCGGATCATTGTCCCGTTGGACGATCGGTAAGTTACCATTTTGTTATAGTAATTTCAGAACAACCAGACTCAACAGGCTACGACGGACCCACGACTGCACAAAACAAGGCATTGTTTCGTTTGATGATTTCAACAGGCATGGAAGAGTCAAGGAATTCATATTGAAGATTACATGTTAACCTACGTCGGCCCAGAACTTTGTAGCAGTTGTAAAATTTCACCAAAGGAATTCCATGGCGCCAGATACAAACAGCCGTTCTCCGTAGATTTCCCCAAATTTGAGGTAAGTCTGGAAATCGTGTGATACTTGTTAAATAACAACCTGTATTCACCGAAGTGGAGGTGGATATTTGCCGAACCGCAAAGCGGCGAGGTAAATATCCCCTGCTAGCCTCCGACACCAAAGTGAATTGTTGTTTTAGTATATACTAACCGGTGAGATGATGATGTAGTACAAAAAGTTGATTTTAACTCATTTATTAGTTTGTCCTTGCAACGATTACAATATTTTCGGGCGCAAATATCGCGCGTGTCGCTCGGAGGAAAATATCGAAGGAAATTCGGAGTTTCAGTAGCTGATCAGTGTGCTTTTAACGCTATCCACTGTTTTAGTACATATTAAAAGCCAACATTAGTTAAAGCAATCAAAGAATCCTTATCGTCTGAATGTATTTTAGGTGGTGGTTCAAGAAGGCGGAACCGAGAGGGACGTAGTCGTTGGTGTGGTTCGTGGAAAACATGACGTGCACAGAGCCGCTGGAGATGTTCGCCATACTGTCGGTTATCATGCGTGTAATGGACTTATTGTTTACTGCGGTGCCTCTGGAAAACAGACTTTTGAAGGTATTCAGGCTTAAGTGACACAAATCTCGTGACGTTTTACAACTAGTTATAAGTTGCACAAAGGAAGTGTACCCTCTATGTTCTCTACCAGACAGTGTTTTGGAGTTCTCTAGTGTCGCTACCCATTAGTGAAACCCTTTTCCGTTTCAATTTTGTACGAGAAACTGAATCGAAATCACCCGCAGAATTGCAATTTAATTTCACCTTACCAACGACCCTCGTCTTATATACTATCTTCAGTATACAGTCAGTGACTGAAACCAGCTTTGAAGTACGCTTATTTCGAAATTGTGATTCGCTCATCGTTTTTGCATGTTGTAAACTTGATTTCTCTATTTCTTCGCTACCAGGTCCTGTGGTATATCGAGGGGATTTGATTGGCTGTACCGTAGGTTTTGATGAGATACAAGATGGGAATATTCCAATTTTCTTCTCCTTAAATGGACAGATAGTGGCTCAGATTTTGGTGGAGTTAGGATCTGATAAATTAGATCTTTACCCTTTTGTTGGAATGAAGCATGGAGGAATTAGAGTGCTGGCGAAGGTTCGTCGAAATGGGATATTTTTACTCTTATGCAAAGTACGGAAATGAAACCGTAGCTGTCTCTTTAGTGCACCAAAATATTTTTTTCTGACTTCACTCTTGGCTATGCTAGATGAGAAGACCTAGTGGTCAGCGCCCCAGACCTCGTGCCAAAAAGTCTAGGTCCAAACCCCGGTTGGTTCATTGTCTTGTGTTGTTGGGTACTGTAGGAACACTAACAATCACTCTTTCCACCATGAAGGGGGTAACCTGCATTCCATTTAAAAGAAAAAGGAGGAATATTCTTCCCACTCCTATTTCTGCCTTCCTAAATAGCTTCCTTCTTTCCCTCCTAACTTATCATGTGCGTGCCTTCGGGCCCATTTTATTTAAATTAAGTGTTGGTATTTTCCCTCCTGCTTTCTGCCTTTCAGATGTGTCCAGGGGAGGTCAAGTATTCAGAAAGACCGCAGTCCTCAAACGGCTCAGATGACGGGTTCGGTACGATGTTCAGTGAGACTGAACGACGTATGATTTTATATCAAACGTTTGATTCTGTGGAAGAGATAAAAGAGACAAACGATGCTCTAGTGCAGTATGTGCACGACAAGATTAGCGAAACAGCAGATAATGTAAAAAAACACAGGGAAAGCATAAAAAGCATTGAAAGTACTATTGAAATTCAAAATAAGAAGATAGAACACATCGAAAGTACCTTGTCTGAGATTCTAAACATTGTTAAAGTAAAACAGTAAAACTGAGGCTACCTGTGGCTAAGATAATTAACAAAAATTTCAAGCTATTGAAAGTTCACTTCGAGTTTAGCCAAACTTTTGTTACCTTGTGTGTCCTTTTTGACCTTAAAAGGAATCTCCTCGTTAAAATCAGATAAAATCACTGCAGCTCTTCTCTATGTTATGAACGTTGTCATGGCAATCAGAAAGGAAGGGAAAAGAAGAATATCAGTCAATAAAGGAGCGTTTTAACTTCTCAATTGAGTAATCTTAAAAAATTTAAATTTATCAATGAATTTATGTGTTGCATCTTCTCGAACACAAAATGTCAGTTTTTCTTACACTTCTCCATACTTCGACCTTTTACCCTTTCAACCTTTAGGTTCAACAAAGTGGTCCTTCAGAGTAAAGCGACCTCCCCTCTCTCCCCCGTGCGGAGCAGTAAAGGAAGTCACCGCGCTCTCTCTATAGCTCCAAATTTGCTCAACACCAACACCTCAGTTCTCGTACGCTCGTGTGCCTATTTTGGGGTTTGATCATTTAACCTTTCAAACCCTAGAAGTGACCAGCTTCCAATTTCTCTTTACAGTAACTGCTGAATTATAAAGATCATGTGAATAAAGGAAATGATCACCAACTTAAGAAGCTTTGATTATTAACCAAATTCTCCTCGTAAGTACCGAGGGGACTGCATAAAAGAGAGTATGGAGAATGTGGACACTGATGCTAGGGTGTAGAGATTAAGGAGATTTCTCTCGAGTCGGTCTACTTAGGGAGTTATTCTGGTGTGCGATCGATAAAAATCGTTTGCTGTTTCCTTTAATGTCAGTTTACTCGTGCTACAAAATGCAATAAACACACAAGATCCCACTTTTTTATAAACGTTAATAGAATTCATGATATATTTTCTTCTTCAGCTCAACATTACCTTAGCTGTCGGTTCACTCAATTGTGCTTTTCGAGTTTCACTCTTTACTTTCATGATGATTGTTAAACCAATGTTACACACAAGAGAGTTCCTTCGTTACGCACTTAAACCATCGTTACACATAATTCGCCGCCACTAGATATCATATCAACATCATTGCACGTCATTCACAGGGTATCTGCAATTTCGTCCCTTGACCGCCCCTGAGGTAAGACAAACTTTACTAGTTCGCCCCCAAATCTTGAACTCGTTTCCTTATGGCATAACATACTCCTTTTCGGTCGAAATCCCAACATATCTCGATAAATATGCAATTTGTTTTTTTCCTGAACACTCGACTACGACTAGCATCAGGTGCTAGTTTGTGGGCTCTTCGGGTGAAAACGGTTTCATATGAAATGTATAGCAAAGAATTCCAGTCTTTTACTTGTTTATTGTGCTAATTGGTCGTTAGAGTCACTAAAGGAATACCTGGATGGATAAGTTGAAAGCCTCCACGGGAATTTTAGCGGTCAGTACCGTGGTGTAATCTGGTTGGGGCCTTGAGAAATTGGCTATAGCAAGTGTCCCAATCGTTAGTAGACTCGGTCCTCAAGACTCGAGCCTCCATAGCAGCAGTAGTGGCAGTCAACATTAGCCCCTATCCTGTTAACTCGTTCGCTGCCGAGTGACAATGACGTCATCATTATCTCAAACATCCTCGGGGTCTGTATAAAAAAACGTGTTGTCAGTGAGGAGATACTTGGGGCTCAAATTGTCCGACGTGCTATGATGATCGTAATGGTACCACGATCCATCTACGCTCAAAGGTCAGGGACTCAAAAGGACCGCATTGACAGAGGTTCTGATGCGTTCCCCGTGTGTCACTTTTGACGGATCGGCACACCTTTTAATCCCGGCAAGGGAAAACATTTTCTCCCATATGTTTGGAAAGTCAGTCGTGATCTCTGGCATAAACTTCTAAATGGACGTTTCCTAAATTAGCAGTTTTGGAAAGGTTTTTTTTTTTCGTTATTGATGTCATTCGCCCTCGAACTTAAAATAAGTAGAGATTTTCATCAAAGAATTGGTGGTAAGAGAGGATAGAGTTCTAGGGGCTATTTGCCATGGATAATTTACTGAGTATGATGTTTTCCTAACTAACTGTTTTGCCGTTTTGTTCAAATGTATTATATTTTTTTTTGCAATGTTCAATACCTTAGGTAACTTTGTGGAAATCAGTATGGACTCAATCAAAGAAAAAAAAACAAAAATGAAATCATACATATCAGCACAACTCAATGTAGTGCAAGGCAATGCGATGCAATGAAACATGATTTCAAGTGCAGTTTGGAGTAAATAAGCACGAGTAAATTTTCAAAGATAACAAAATTGCACGCGCCCGTAGGGCAAGTTTAATTTGCAGTCTTTGTAAAATTAGTTATGCAAATGAAAAAATATCGCAGAAAGTCAAGACAGACGAAATTTTAAAAGCGTGCGCGCACTATTTGTAATTTGTACATTATCAAATTTAATAAAATTAATATAACAACAGGAGTTGGGATCACGACGCAGGTCTCACTAGTCCTTGTGGCTTTATCGAAATCCATGTAAAATGCAGATTAATGATAACTTTACGCAGCAACTGAGCTTAGTTTTTTTATTTATTTATTTATTTTTTTTAAGAGCTACTTGTTCTTTTGACCGGAAGTAGAAGAAGTCTGAAAAAGACTGACATCTAGATAATACTCGAGGGAGTGGTTTATCAGGATGTCAATCTATGACGTATAACGGCTGACATGAAATAAGCCAATCAGCAACGAGTATTTGACCACTTGGGCTCGAAAGAAGACCAGGCGCGCTTTTCAAATGTTTCTGTTCTGACAAAAACACGTGAAAAGATGACACACGGTTTCAATCTTCCGAAAGAAGCTTAAAGATGGTCTTCTTCAAAGCTCACAGAGTGGCGAAACCCAACGAAAATTTTTCCGAACTGCGAAGAGGAAAGAAAGAAGAAACTGGTGAGTTAATTTTTGCTTTGAATGTAAGGGTTTCACTTGTACGAAAATGAAGCATAAAATTTCCCACACACACGTGTTTCACGGAGAAACTTGTGGCTCAGCTCGTTCCGGAAAATTCACGTGAACACCAACGAAAAATTGGTTAAGGTATTCAGTTAGAGCGAGGTGAGAATTTTAATGACACGTGTTTCGTTACAGAACTTACCAAAAGAATTACTTCTTGGCCTTCTTGCGTTCGTCATTAATTCAAAATATGAATGTCGCAGCCGTGGAAGATGACCCACAAGCTGCAGAGGAAATAGAGATAGGTGAGTAACTATACTCCTTTGATATATTTTCCCATTAACCAATATGGAATTTTCAGCAATTCAAAATGAACGCTAAAAAACTTGAGAATAATTTGAGAATTTTCTCAAGTGGTGATGTTCAAAACACTTCTAACCTTGAATGGCTTTCGGCGCGAGAGCTTGTCCTGCATGTTTCCAATTTTTTTTTACCAAGCAAATTGGATTAATATTTTTTGTTTACAAAATTCGCTTATTAAATAGTCCATTGTTCGTTAGTTTTTATTCAGTTTTCCGTTCATGTTACAGTAAAAGTTGTGTTTTCGGCTTCAGTTAAAGTTTTTAAGCAATGTTCGTAGATAATAATTTGAAACGTACACAGGTCACTCTCACCATTTTTATTTTCAAGCTGTTGCTTGTTTCATCTTTTTTCCGGACGCCTCTGTCTCTAAAATCGCTGATTCAGCCGATTTTTCGTTATCATGAAGTCAGTCATTGCCGTAAAGTACTCCTACATACAGCTTACCCGCAAAAATAAAATTGCGTATAAAAGAAAAGAAATTGTTTGAAATTTTACCATAAACTGTAAAAGTGGACAAATGCAATTGTACAATCGAGAAATTCCCTAAAAGACCTGCGTTGTCCCGTAGGGTTAGCAATTATTCCTACAATTGTGAATGTGTCTCTGGCTTTAGGCTCCAAAAGTTTCCAGAACTTTTTAACAGAAATACTTATTGATGCAATTATTCAGTCACTCTGTCATTTACTCATTCATACCTCTATTCCCTCCTTCTTTCTATCCTTCATTTATGTATGCACCAACTCTTGTATTCACTAACACATTAATTCTATCATAATTGAATTAAAAATTCGGTGGGTTCTTTTTTTTTGTTTCAGTTTCACCATTTCCCTGTGGTATGTGCCCGTGTTGTTCTACCACCTGGTTCAGCAACCACTTCACTCAAGCAAGTGTGTACCAGTTTGGCTCTGATGGGGACATTTTAAGATGTGTGAAATTGGATCGTTGGAAGATGAGACCTAAGGTTTCTCTTCACTCCTTTCCAATTTATACTACATCTTAGGATTTACTCGCAGATGTTCAACTGGGAAAGAAGATACTGATGGAAGACAAGTACAAACTGGTTAGCTCATTTCTTTTGGGTTGGACGGAGGGTTATCAGTTAGAGCTCTGGATGAACCTTAATTCAAATTTCGGCTCGAAGTCCATAGACTTCGCATTCGGCTTAATTTAATGTAGTTAGGTTAATTAGTTGGGTCCCCATGGGTCGGATGGGTCCTCCCTGTAGGTTTCTCCTTTGGGTTCCTTTTCAGGTACTTTCGGCTTAAGTTCGACATAGGTTTTCGGTTTAGGTTCGGTATATATTTCGGCTTTGTGTCACGGCGTCAACTGAAAGACTACAGCTCTTCATTTACCTCGACTGGAGTAAGGAGCTACAACGGCACTTCTGTGGTCAGCACAAGCTGCTTCGGTACTAAATCTCCCGCTTAGTTGCGCGCTTCTAAAACTTACTTTTCATTCAAAGTTTCACTAGATAGCAGCCACACAAAGGACTGTCATCCGGTGAGACTCTTTCGTCCAAATTATGCCATAAAATTAATTCGGGCAAAACCATTTTGGCCTAAAGGTTCAACCAGACATTTACTTATTGTAGGTATAAGTAACTGGAGATTTGAGGCCATTCAGCTGAGGGAGTATGCCCATTTGCTACTTCTATCATGTTTAGTGGTTTAGCTCCAGTTGAAGCCGCCAGTCGAGGCTTCATTTGGTGGGAAATAGGAGTTATGCACACACCTCAGTTTAGGTTACAACTAAAATTAAGCCAATTAAACAGTACATTGTGATGGCTTGAAAGCTGTCAGTCAAAAGTTTGGGCCATTGTTTTCGTTTCTACAACTCAAAACAATTATCTTGTCACGTCAGCCAAAATTTGGTGAGATATCAACTCATCATCTAACACCACAAATGAGGATGCATCGGTGGAGAGGACATAGCTTTTGAGTTAAAAAAAAATGGCCAATAATGTAAG